CCTCAGTGCGTGTTCAGTGGAGAGGTCAGCCTCCTGAGGCATCGACCTGGGAGTCCGAGTCTGATATGCGGAGCTGTTATCCTCATCTATTTCCCGACTCAGGTACTTCTTTCTTTTGTCCGTTCGAGGATGAACGGTTGTTTTAGAGGTGGAGAATGTGACGACCCAAAGGGTCATCACCTATTTTCTCTTTCATTCCGTGCTTTCAAGGCCTTGAAAACCTCTTTTTTACTTGCCTCAATTTGCGTGCACAGTCCGGGTGCGTAGCCGCAAAGCTTAAATATGAATTCTGTGTAAAAATTGATGAATTTTGATATTAATATGATTAAGTTGACTTTGGTCAATATTTTGAGTAAACGGACCCGGACCCGTGATTTGATGGTCCCGGAGGGTCCGTAGAAAAATATGGGACTCGGGCATATGCCCGGAGTCGAATTCCGAGGTCTAGAGCCCGAGAAATGAATTTTTCTGTGAAATTATTAATGAAAATTGATTAAAAGACTGTGGTATCGGGCTCGTATTTTGGTTCCGACGCCCGGTACAAGTCTTATATATGGTTTAAGCGCTTTCTGTGAAATTTGGTTGAAATCGGACGTCATTTGACGTGTTTCGGACCTAAATATCAAAGATTTGAAGCTTATGAAGTTAGAATGAAAAATGAAGATTTTTAGGTTTGATTAATTGATTTTGGTGTTGTTTTGGCGATTTGATCGCACGGTTAAGTTCGTATGAGGTTGTTTAGTTAGTGTGTGAGTTTGGTTAGGAGCCCCGAGGGCTCGGGAGTGTTTCGGAGGTGTTCCGGGGTGTTTTGAACTTAGGAGATTGTAGCAGATTTTCTGCAATTTTTGCACAGCTTTTTCCTTCTTCACGATCGCGGCCTTCAGCCCGCGTTCGCGTACCTTTGGGCTTTCCCTTCTTCGCGTTCGCGGCTCAGTCCCCCGTTCGCGTAGCTTTAATCCTCCCTTCATCGCGTTCGCGAACCCCGTATCGCGTTCGCATAGACCAAACTCCGGACCCCAGCACTTTTCTTCTACGCGTTCACGTTTGCCTCCACGCGATCGCGATGGCTTGCCCAGCTTACCCTTCACGAACGCGGCCCCCTTCCCGCGAACGCGAAGGGCATGTTTGCCCAGTGATTTTTAAAGTTCAAAAACAGAACAGTGACGAGTTTATTCCTAATTTTCTCACGAGCTCTCTTCCTCCCCAAGCTCTAGGACTCCATTGAAGCCCCCATCCTTCAAGACCACTTGAGTAAGTAATTTCCCACTCATTTCTTTCACTTTTCCTTCATTAATTAGTAAGTTTCTAAGCCTAAATCATATAATCTAGGGTTGAAATTGGGGAAAATGGGTAGAGTTAGGGCTTTTCAATTTTCTTTGATTTAGACCTCGTTTTGGGGTCGAATTTGAAAACAAATTGTATATCCGGGCTCGTGCGGGAATGGGTGATACGAATTTGGTCCGAACCTCGTGTTTTGACCAAGCGGGCCCGGGGTCGATTTTTGGAATTTTGGGAAGAAGGCTTAGAAAACTATATTTAGGCATTGGGTTTGATTTGTTTAGCTTATATCAATGTTGTAAGGTCGTTATTTCATAGATTTGATTGAGTTGGAGCTGAATTCGAGAGGGAAAGCGGTCGTTGTGGATTGATTTAGCCGTGGAAGTTGAGGTAAGTGTTTGGTCTAACTTTGGCTTGAGGGAATAGGAGTAGAGTCTTATTTGCTAGCTGCTATTTGTCGAGTACGGTGTATAGGCATGGTGACGAGTATCTATACACTGGTGTCGAGCATGACCTTGAGTCCTGAATTGCTATGTTATCGAGTTCTTAATTATTGTTTATGAGGACTTCGTTGGAAATCTTTAACACTGAACCGGTAATTGATGAGACTGAGTATTGATTTAATTGTGTTAAGTAGAAATTGAGTAAGTTTGGTTATAGCTGGATCTCCCTTGCCGGGATAGTTTATTATATTATCTTGTTCCCTTGCCGGAATAGTTTATTATATTATCTTGTTTCCTTGCCGGAATAGTTTATTATATTATCTTTCTCCCTTGCCGGGATTATTTTGTGCATTGCGTTGAAAGAAATGGGATCGTGTGGCACGCCGACCACGAGATATTATGAAATGGGATCGTGTGGCACACCGAACACGAGATATTATGAAATGGGATCGTGTGGCACGCCGACCACGAGATATTATGAAGTGGGAGCGAGTGGTACGCCTACCACGTGATACTATGAAATGGGAGCGAATGGTACGCCTACCACGTGATACTATGAAATGGGAGCGAGTGGTACGCCTACCACGTGATACTATGAAATGGGAGCGAGTGGTACACCTACCACGTGATACTATGAAATAGGAGCGAGTGGTACGTCTACCACGTGATATTATGAAATGGGAGCGAGTGGTACGCCTACCACGTGATATTATGAAATGGGATCGAGTGGTACGCCTACCACATGATATTATGAGAAATGGGATCGAGTTGCACGCCTGCAACGAGAGGAAATTGAAACAAGTGAAAGTGGTTTGTCTTCCCTTATTCTGTGTTAGAAGAAATCAGATGTAGTTTCTTTTGTTATTCCTGATATTCAGTTTTATATGCTACCCTATAAGCATGTTCCCCTCCCAGTTTTAATTGTTTACTTTCCGCTATTATTTTGTTGTACTTGTATATATATCTGCACAGGTTTATCTGGTAGTCTGGTCTAGCCTCGTCACTACTTCGCCGGGGTTAGGCCAGGCACTTACCAGCACATGGGGTCGGTTGTGCTGATGCTACACTCTGTGCATCTTTTTGCACAGATCCAGGTGTTGGAGCAGCATTTGAGTAGCGGTAGCATTCTGGGAGCGAGCTTTCAGTCCAGGGACATTCGAGGTAGCCCTGCTGACGTCCGCAGGCCCGGAGTCCCTTTCTATTTTATTCAGTTTCTTATCATTTGTACCGAAGCAGATAGTTCTATGTTTCATTCAAACCTTGTATTTAGTATTCTCTAGTCGTTCGTGAGTATTGTGACACCAGTCTTGGGTAGAGGATTTTGTTAAACTTCCGCATTTCTTCCGGTTAATTATATTTGAGACTTCCGCTTTATCATATTATGTTTTATTTTCATTAAATGGACAGTAATTGCTAAAAGAAGTAAATTGAGTTGGATTGCCTAGCTCCTATTAGTAGGCGCCATCACGACTCCCGAGGGTGGGAAATCCGGGTCGTGACATTCTAGTAAATTGTGGTAATTACTCGGGAGAGGGATACGATAGTCAGAGTGCTCATGATCGGTAGAGAAGACTTAGGCAAATTTATAGAAAACGTAGCGGAAAGGATTCCGACAATAGTGGAAATCATAACTCTAGACCTCCTTAATCTTTTCTCCAACCCTTATCCTTGTTAATTGATAGTTTTACTGCTTTCTAGTATTTGTTAGTTAATTAGATAAAAATAAATATTATAATCTTTATAATTAAGAAATTGTTTGCACTTTTGTTTCTTAGCAACAGGAGTGGCAAACGGGCGGGTCGTGTCGGATATGGTTCGGGTCGAAAACGGATAATGAAAAAACGGATCAATTATCCGACACGATCCATATTTAATACGGATAAAAAACGGATTAACCGGCGGATAATATGGGTTACCCATATTATCCATGACTTCTTGTATAGGATCACTTTTGGGAGAATTCTTAGTCTCCCTAACTTGAGGAACCCCCAATTTGAGGCTTTACAAATGTAAAAGTTAGACCTATTGGTTAACCATTACTTATCTATTTTTCTAAATGGATAATATGGTTCTTATCCATATTTGACCCGTTTTGAAAAAGTTCATTATCCAACCATTTTTTAGTGGATAATATGGGTGGTTAACTGTTTTCTTTGAACCATTTTGCCACCCCTACTTAGTGATATTGAACAATTGTAGCTAAGCCTTAGTTCTCTGTGGGATTCGACTCCGGATTTGTAAATCGGATTATATTTGCAACGACCGCTTAATCCTTTTTATAAGGCATAGTTGGGCGTGATAAGTGAGAAATGTGAACTCCTAATAACATATAATTTCTAACATTTTCTTGCTTACTGTAAGTCACTCCAACTTATTTAGAGAACGACCAAAAAAAGAAAACAATATAATTATAGATATTTCCCTTCCACAATCAATTCAAAGTACGTCACTTATTTCCTAAAAAATATTGGACCTCGTTTTCATTCCTTTGTTTGATTCTATTAAGATGCAGCAAAGCTTTATCTATCATTCTTCCATCATTTACCTATCCCTTATATTTGAAATCTTGTTTGAACATTAAAAAAAGTAAGATTTAAAGAAGCACTTTTTGAAGTTAAGTTGAAAAGAGTATTAAAATTAAAATTATATTTAAATTTGCATTTCACTTTAAACAAATTATCATTTTGTGAGGGAAACAAGTTTTATGTTTTACTATTTTCTCAAACTTGAAACTTATCTTTATTTTTTTTTCCAAATAATCATCCCACTGTGTGACCAAACAATACTTTAAAAAAGTTTGAAAAAAGTAAAAAAATAAAAAGTTCTTATGAACATAAAACAAACTACTCTGCATCAAATTTGTTCTTATGAACATAAAACAAACTACCTCGGCAAATAGAATTCATAACCAACTTGTTCATATTCTGTGTTGTCGATCTTAGGCACAAATTTGTAAAAGTGTAGTAACATAAAATAAACTACCTTGCATCAAAAAAAAAAAAAAAAAAAAAAAAAAAAAAAAAAAAAAAAAAAAAACCACCTTGCATCAAAACATTCAAGAAAAAACAAAACAAAAAAAACCAAGCCCTTTTTCTTCTTTTTTATTATCTTTTAAACGAAAAATCAAAACATGCTGTAAGGACAAAAAGGTAAATTCGAAAACAAAGTCCACCGACCCCCCCCCCCCCAAACCCCCCCCGGGCCCCAACCAAGTGAATACTACTGAAAACTCAACTACACATTTACTAAAAGAAAAAAAGAAAACAGCCACAGTACCTTTTTTATCTAATTAAAACCAAAAGCCCGTGAAGAGGATTTAATAGAGACTTTGGTATCCGCTGGGTAGGAATGAGTTAGAGAGAGAGAGAGTCAGGTAGACTTTCCAATTGTTTAGAGAGAGAATAAGAAAGAAGATCTATGGTGAGTTCTTTTAAAACTTTGTTGCTTTAAGTAGCAGAGTGTAATTTATTTGGTTTCATGCTAATTTTTTTGTTGATATAGATTTTTACCCTGAAAATTTCTTTGATTTTTCTTTCAAAATTTCCGGATTTTCAGCTAAGTAACATTTTGTTTGAAAGACATTGCTGCTTAATTTGTGTGTACAAACAGTTTTTGTTTAAAGTAAAACATTAAACATAATTCTGTTTGTGCGACACCGGATTAGCCTAAGTGTGACACTTGTGAACTATTTAGGAAATTTCATTTCTTTGTATATATCTCTGTTTGTCTCTTTTTCGGGCTAGAAAAAAATCAAATCTTTTATCTTTCCTGTTATTGTTTTCTTACCAGGTAGCACAAATTGAATTTTCCCCCTTTTTGGGGCCGTTGTTTCAGGTCAAGAAATGAACTTTTTGCATCTTCTGCTCTTCTTTTTTTGCCGTTGGTTTAATGGATGGTCTGTTGCTATAAACTTATAAAGGAGTTTGTATTACCCCCTCCCCTCCCTAGCAGATTAGAAAATGAGAGAAAAATGTAGCTGATACAAGATTCAACATGGCAAACTAATGGAATTTTTTAAATAGAAATAAAGGTTTTTTTTTGGTGGGGTGGTGGGGGGAGGTGGAGGTGTTAAAATTCTTTTAAGATTTAACTTTTTATGAATGATGAAGAGGGTCTTGTAGTTTTGTTTCCTAATGTAATTTAAACAAGTAGGAAAGAGGCCTCCAGTAAACTCTCTAGTTTTGGACTACTTTAAGAGCCTTCTTTTGCAGGAATCTTCTTTTTCTTGCTTTGTACTTTTCCTCATCTACCTCTGGCCACCTCTTTTATTTTCTTTGCGATTAAGGTATGCAGAATAGTGTGAATTGATACCCTACTCCCTCTTCAGGTATTTATTGTGCACGGATGTTGGGGATTTGAGTTCATCATTCCAAAAGATTCACATATAAAAGGTAACCTGTGAAGCCTTGCTCTGGTCCAGTAAATGTCTTTCCGCAGTATCGCTCGTGATATTAGGGATAGTATTGGAAGCTTATCTAGGCGGAGTTTTGAGGTCAGGCTGTCTGGTCATAACAGAGGGAAGTCTCAGAGTGCTGTCCATGAGTTGCATGACCAGCCTATAGTCATTCAAAGCAGTTGTTGGGCAAGCCTCCCACCAGAGTTACTTCGTGATGTAATTAAAAGACTGGAGGCCAGTGAGAGTACGTGGCCTGCTCGTAAACATGTTGTTGCATGTGCAGCTGTTTGCCGTTCATGGAGGGAAATGTGCAAAGAAATTGTTCAGCGTCCAGAGTTGTGTGGAAAGTTGACCTTTCCCGTCTCTCTTAAGCAGGTGATTATGGTTCTTTAGTTTTCCCCCGTCTCTCTATTGTTTTGGACTAGGTTTAAAGTGGGAAATGAGAGCTATATCATTGTTGTAATGTTTGTTATCCAATTCCCTTTTGCAGCCTGGGTTTCGAGATGGAACCATCCAGTGCTTTATCCGAAGAGACAAAGCTAATACAACTTACCAACTTTTCCTTTGCCTTAGCCCCGGTAAGTTTGTCTTACTCGCTTATGCGGACTGACATGTAGTCTAATTTAGATCTTTTGCTCATATGTGAAGCTTCATATGTTTCCACCGTCAATTTGATGTCTCCCTTTCTTGCATTTGATCCTTTAGGATTTAAAAGTTTTTTTTTTTCCTTTCTAAATCATGGATTAGATTAGATTCATTTCTGTGGGTTGCCCGAAGAATCATCTAACTCTGTACGTAATCCACCAAGGTTTATGCAAAACTCCCTTGTTTCACAGAGTGAAAGATGGAATCAGGTAGTTCTTGTGGAGGTGTCTAACTAACAAATGAGGGGTTGATTTTTGTGCATATATGTTTGTATGGTTAGGCGAACTTCACAGCTATTGACAGAAAATTCAGATGATGATTCACAAAAGGATGTTTTTTTTCTCCTTTTGTGGACTGCTTGAAGAGCAGGAAGTTTTGATTCTGGTTAGGTGGGATTCTTCTTTTTTTTTTTTTTTTCTTTTGGTTCACTTCCTAGTGTAATTCTGCATTTTCATCAATGCACTTTGTCGATGGCGGAAAAGGATTATTAGTTAATGGTTCAGAACCATTTCTGAAGCTTCTCGATATTTCCCTTTTAAGTTCATACAAACCTATATTACCTTGTTTTCATCAAAAACCTGGCATCCTGATGTTTTTTCCCATTCTGTTTTTCATCAGCCTTGCTTGTAGAAAATGGCAAGTTTCTTCTTTCTGCAAAGCGTAATCGGAGAACCACTTGTACGGAGTACGTCATCTCTATGAATGCAGATAACATATCAAGGTCAAGCTGCTCTTATATTGGAAAACTGAGGTAATGCTTCAAGAGAGTTCAAATCCTTAAATTTCTTTAGTTTTGTTGTCAAACGAGATCGTGATTGGCTAAAGGAATGTTGTCATAAATATTTAAAATGGCTCACGAAATGTACAAGGTAGAAAATGTGGAATGATGAATAGAATCTCCAAGGTTATATCCAAAGAAAGAGAGGGTTATATGATTTCTTCAACCTTCTTTCCTTATCAAAGAAAAGAAAAGAAAAGAAAGGGAGTTTTATGGAGGGAGGAAACTAGTGAAATGTTCTGCTTGGATTCTGTCCTTTCAGGCTAAGGGCAATCAGGCTTATAAACTTTCTATATAAGAAACTAGTCAAGTCATCAGCCTGGATTCTATCCCTTTTGGCTGTGGAATGAGGCTTTGAATAATATTGAGCGCATGGATGCATTTTTGGTGATTTGAAATGGTTTGCTCTTTTATATGTTTCACTCTGCAATGCTGTAAAATGCTATGGTAGCAATTTGACAGGCAACGTATGGATAATGCGCCAGTCATGTCTAATATTGAGCCTGTCCTGATATCCTATTTGGGTTATATTCCTTAATTTGTTCGATCTATTATTTCCTGAATTGTCATGGGAAAAAGGTGAATAATTTGTTAAACATGTGAATATTATTATGTGTAATGTGATGGAATTTGTCATAATGAATTTAGCCGTTAATGGACATGATAATTCTGATGCAAGTTTCCGCTTCAGGCCAATTGCAAAAGGCTTTTTAACTGTTTCCGTTTCTTCTTTATAGGTCAAATTTTCTGGGCACGAAGTTCATAATTTATGATACCCAGCCACCGTACAACAGTTCTAGTATACCCCCACCTGGTGGAAGCCGGAGATTCAACTCCAAGAAAGTTTCTCCCAAAGTCCCTACAGGAAGCTACAAAATTGCACATGTTACTTATGAACTGAATGTGCTCGGCACCAGGGGGCCACGTAGGATGAATTGTGTCATGCACTCAGTCCCTGCCTCGGCCCTTGAACCGGGGGGCAGTGTCCCATGCCAACCTGAACTTCTCCCTCCCAATCTTGAAGACTCATTTCGGAGCATGTCCTTTTCAAAATCCATTGATACTTCAACAGAATTCGGCAGCGCTCGGTTTTCGGATATTGGGGGTCCAAGTGAAGAAGCTGAAGAAGGGAAGGCTAGACCTTTGGTTCTCCGGAACAAGCCGCCTAGATGGCATGAGCAGCTGCAGTGTTGGTGTCTGAATTTCAGAGGGAGGGTAACCGTCGCTTCTGTCAAGAATTTCCAGCTGATTGCTGCTACACAGCGTGCAGCCGGTGCCCCAACACCAGCACAACCGGCTCAGTCATCATCAGATCATGACAAGATTATCTTGCAGTTTGGTAAGGTCGGCAAAGATATGTTTACAATGGATTACCGGTATCCCTTGTCTGCATTTCAGGCTTTTGCCATCTGTTTGAGCAGCTTTGACACAAAGTTGGCATGTGAATAGTAGAAGATTTTAGTTGATACTAGTAGTTTTCTCTTCCCTAGAGTTGCCTAAAGATTGAGTCCGTTGCACAGTCAGTATGTGACTCTTCATTATAACCAAGGAGATGCAGGGAGCTGTTGCAGCACATTGGACAGTTATTATTTTCTGTCTTTTCTTTTTCTTTTTCCTCTTCTTGCCTCACCGTTGCCCTTCTTCGGTTTATCCTTCAATCATAGAGTTTAAGATGCTTCTGTTGTAATTTGTTGCAAAAGTGTTGAATGTACTTGGTGAAAAGAACAATATAGACTTTGTACCATGTTTGATTTCCAGTTGTAACAGCCTTTTGTACGATCAGGGTCAGCCCACCTTCTAGTGTGTTTTATCAGTTTGGATTATGCTGGCGATGATGTTTGATGTTATTACAACATCTTTGTGGAGGCCATGTTAGTTGAAATTTGATATCTGCTTTTTGTAAATGAGACTCGGGTCAGTCAATATTTTAATTTGGCTTTTTCCTTTCAAAGTTATGTACTAAATAATTTTTGCAGAGCATTTTTAAACTAACTTCTTTCGACGTAATCGTAGCTAATTTTGCACTTTTCTTGAAATATATATAACTAAAACTACAGTACTTTGCAAGAATATATTACGTGAAAAGTTGGCATTGCTTCAGGCTACTATGACTGGTTCTGAAGTGGAATAGCATGTGAGTAGAATTATTCAGCTGACTGCTCTACCACTAAGCTACTGAGGAACAATGAGTGATTCGTTCAACTCCCGTTTTCAACCCATGACTAATATGAGCTCGTAACTTCCTTTGTGGTGTGTTGACTGCGCGGGAAAGAAAATAGGGAGAAATTCAAAAATAGTCAGATTTACACGTGGTCGTGCAAAAATAGCCCAATTTCAAAAGTAATCGAAATTTAGCCACTTTTCATGTAAAGATAAATCTGAGCGAAAACACTGTTTAAAACCCGGAAAATGCGCCAGTATATTATGCTGGAGTTCCAGCATAAGTATACTTGAACTACAGCATATTATACTGGAGTTACAGGATAAGTATGCTGGAACTCCAGCATAATATGATGGAGTTTCAACATAAGTACACTAGAACTCCAGTATAATATACTGGAGTTCCAGCAAAGTATACCGGTCCAGTATAATACGCTGGAAGTTCATACACATGTGCTCGAATCTCCAGTATATTATGCTGGAACTTTCCGTGTTTTAGAGTTCCAGCATAATATGCTGGAAGTTCATACACAGGTGCACCGAACTCCAGTATATTATGCTGGACCGGTCTCTGTTGCAGCAAAATAGTGGCTATTTTTCATTGACTTAGTAAACGCTGGCTATTTTTGAATGACCAGTCCGAAAACTGGTTAGACCGTGCTTTTTTTACAAGAAAATAGGGAAGAGAAGGGAACATCCGCCTATCGGTTTTGAAAGTTCTCATATGAGCCAATGAAGCCCAGTAATAGAAAAAGTTTTCTAGGCCCATTCTTATTTTGCAAAGACAAATTTTTAAGAAAAGGCCTGAGAAGGATAGAGAGGAAAACTTACACAAATGTCCAAATAAGTCTTAACTTATCAACCTCTAGCCATTAGTCATAGATTTACCAAAACTAGCCAAGTACATATAAAAATTGAAAACCCAAATAATAATTAAGGTTCTTTCCCTCAAAGAATCACATGCAAAAATCACCTTTCATATTTTTAAGCGTGATTAGCAACATTAGATGCAAGATGGAAAGGAAATTTCATGGATGAAGTAGCAAATAAGGTGATGAAATATAAAAAAAAATATATACAATATTCCAAAATCTAAGCCAAAAAAGAACTTTTTCAACGGGTATAGTTGAGATTCATTGAAAACATATAGATAAGTCAATATACAACATTATGAGGAACATTGGAGGTGATTTGGACTGGTTTTGTATCAAAATCCGTAATTAAAATCCAGTTCAATTTTTTTTTCTGCGACACATGTATCACGCATGCATCTCACAAACAGATATACATGGATATACATGTGATACATAATTGATACAAATAAGATACACAAATGATACAGTGTGATACACATATCTTTTTTTTCATCTTCGGATTTTACTTCGAATTTTCAATTTAAACCACCTCAAAACTTCACTAAATCATCCCAAAACTGAGACTCAAGCTCCTTAAGATGTACCCAATCTATTCTAATAACACCCACTCAAAAGAGAGCAAAAAATCGACTTTTTTTTGCGACAAATAGCTAATTGACTAATATTAGAAATATTTTATGAATTGACCAATTTTTATAATGAGCTACTTATAAATTGGCATAGCTAATGGCTACTTATAATGAATAATTTGACTCTTAGAACTAAGTTTGAGGGACAAGTATGAGATATGGGCCAGAGGGGCTAATCAATTGTCGAAAATGAACATTAAGAGATAGATGCACTTGTTTGTTCACATACGTCACGGGAGAAATTCAAAAATAGCCAGATTTATAAATGGTCATTCAAAAATAGCCACAGTTTCAAAAGTTATCGAAATTTAGCCACTTTTTATGTAAAGATAAATCTGAACGAAAACACTGTTCAAAATTAAGAAAATACTCCAGCATAATATACTAGAATCCAGTATAATATACTGGAGTTCCAATATACTTTGCTGGAGTTCCAGTATATTATACTGGAGATCCAGCAAAGTATACTGAAACTCCAGTATATTATACTAGAACCAGCAAAGTATACAGGTCCAGCATAATATGCTGGAAGTTCATACACAGGTGCACCGAACTCCAGTATATTATGCTGGATTTGTCTCTGTTGCAACAAAATAGTGACTATTTTTAATGACTTGGCAAACGCTGGCTATTATTGAATGACCAGTCCGAAAACTGGCTAGCCTGTGCTATTTTAACCATATATCAGTTACATAATAAATTATAAGATAGCTCGTACCCAAAAAATCACAGTTCTAATTAAAACTTTACACTTGTGTACAGGTAAAATCGGGGACAATGTTACCCCCAATTCCTGATAAAGAGGCGAGAGGGAAGGACGGTCCAACGCAACTTCAAGCGAAGCCGAAGGGTCCCTTGTGTTGGAGCTCGGGAGGAATGAGCGACGTATCTTGGATCGGAAATGGCTAAACAACGGATCTGGGCAAAGTACGGTTTCGAGACCACGTGAAAAAGTAAATGGGTGAGCATGACAAGCAGGGAGCCGTAATATTCGCCCTCAACCTTACGGCGCGAATCCTGTCTGATATCAACTGCGGGTTGACATTTACCGGAAAAAGAAGATTTTTACCTTATTTAGACTTGTACTAGGATTGAAATTTCCCTACTATATAAAGGGGAGAATATTTTCATCCCGGCACACTGTTAAAACGCATATCAAAGTAATAAAAGTTTATTTTTGTCTTCTAACTATTATTCAAAGTGTTCTTCAATTACTCTCTTCTTTAATTGCAACTGAGCCCATATCAAGGGTTCGATCGAAGGCGAATTTTAGTGTTCAACTTAAGACCAGGCTTGATTGTTCCATTGCGATTGGTTTGATTGTTCATTCTTTCTCTAATGTAATTATTTGTTGTTCTCAGATCATTCGTATTGATTAAATCACGTATCTTTTAATCACATACATATTTAATTGATAACTCATTTTTAAGGCTAAACAACACTAATGTTTGAAGAAGAAAAAATCAAAGTATCAAAAGCTAGAGTATTGGGTTTGTGGTTACGGCTACCCCAGTCAATCTCTCTCTTCATCCTTTATTAGCAATATATAGAAGAAATCTGCATATGTTGTTGACTCCTTAATAGTAAATTAGTCAAGTATGGGACTAATGGAGCAACTAAAGGTTAATGGCGATCTTTAAACAAATAGCCATCCAGCTTTATTGTTTATTTTTTCTAGCTAATATATATAAATTATACATAATTATATATACATTATACATAGATTATATATACATACTATATATTCTCCGGCTACTTTTAGCTTTAAGTAATTGAGTGAAGTAGTGAGTGATTGAAAGCAAATTAGAAGGGAGAAACTGTGAACAAATGGAGGATTTTAAGGAAGTCCTACTCTCAAGAATTTCATATTTGCAGTTTTGCTCAAGTCTTGATCATTCACCTTTTGAAACCATATATTAATGGAATTTTTACCTCCTATAGCAAAGGTTGATACCTTATTTATTTTAAATAAATACCATTTTAAAAAATTATATTCCATAGCTACCTTTTGGTTTATAGCCAAATATCTATTTATGGTTACCTCCTACTGTCGCGCCCCCTTTTTCTCGCGTAATCGGGTTTGTGACATTTGGTTGGGAAAACTCCTTCCTTTTGGGAAAGGGGTTTTGCAATTTTGAAGAGTCGCACCTAACGATTTAAAGGTACGTTAGGGCACCTATGGGGGCTCAACTACAACTACGTTTGATAACCAGAGATAGGGTAAGGGCTTAAAATTATTCCAAGGGGAAGGTGTTAGGCACCCCTCAGGATCCACTAGTGCGGTTCCCGGCCAGATAGTTTTTGTGAATTTGTGCAATTAGCAAGTAAACAAGTAAGGCTCAAGTAATAGGGGATTTGAGTTAAAATACACAAGCGTTTGAAAATAGTTAATGAAAGCAAGGTTTTGATAGAATTATAACCTAAGCATGCTGATGAATGTAAAGGGGTCCTAGGTTTGTTTGTAATATGGATCACATCAATGCAATACCCGGTAATCACTCCTTAAAAGAGGTGCTACACGTGGTATTAGCGCACCGGTCATCATATCCATATCTACCCTTCCCGCCCCGTTAAGGTATTAAAGCATGGATTGGTCTCGATCTCTATTGCATGCTATTACCCGTCCCGTTCCTATCAGTCCCAGAGGATATTTAGGACTACTATTCCTATAAGCGGGAGGATTTTAGGCTGACTCTTGGGTTTTTAAAGGTAAAAAGACTAAGGCGACATTCAAAACATATAGGACCGCATATTAGGGGAAACACGTAAACAACTAAGAGGCTCATATATACCTCCTCAAGTAAAGCACATAAATAGCATGACTTAAACACATTTAGGGTCAGAATTTAAAGTACTAAGACAAGGGAGTTTTAGTTGTTGAAGCAGACCAATTTATTACATAACTCAGACAAGAAGTCCGAATCAGGCCCGCCTTCTGGTTGTAGCAGTTGCTAATTAAACAAAGGTGGATTCAATTTTATCATTATTACATAAGGCTTGCCTAAGTGTGTATTGATGATACCCTATAAGCATGATATCTATTACTGATTCAAAAATGGCAAAGCAGTGATAGTTTTAAACGAGTAAATTAGATCCTATAAGCATGCTTTCTAGACCGCATTAATGAAAGGAGTAAGTTGTTTAAACCAATTCAACACAGTACGATTCAAACTTATTTTTAACTAAACTGGTTTCAGATTTTATGGACATAATCTCTATTGTTGCTGATTTTAATCCCTACAGAGATGGTATCTAATATTAAAGGCTGATTTGGTCCTATAGGCATG